ATGGCCCTGAACTGATAGGTTACCTGATAGTGGGGAGCAAATAAAATAAAGTCTCCAATGAAAAGTGGAGTTAGCAACGCACTGAATATGAGAAAAAGCGACAGACATGAATAAGTCACTGGTTACTTGTGTGCTGCTTTTCATGCCCAAGTACCCGAGCCTTTCATAAAGATACATTATCGGTACATCAGGGGAGAGATTCACCGAGACAACAATAAAAAGCAACATGCCAGAGTTGGGCATGTTCCTTCGAGAAAATTACTACAAATTGCTGAGCTGAAGTGCTGTACAGAAAAACAGCTTCCTTGAGGAGCGCGCCAAGTAAATCCAAAACACATGGATGGGGAAAAAACAGATGAGGATGGGGAACAGTAACAAGAAGTAAAAATAAGGCATCCTGTATGCACTCTTTTAACCCAAACTTTGGCTGAATTCTCATAAAAAAATTTTAACAACATATCTCCACCTCTTTATAGTCCATGGAAAATAGACAGATACCCAACTGAACTTGATGCTCTGTGTCACTGCTCCCAGTTATAGCATGAAGTCATATTTACTGAGCACCTTCCTCTCCAAGAAGCCCCAAGGACTTTAAAATGTGGGAAAACTATCACATGAAATGGGTCTGTGTCAATTAAACATGTGTAACTGCAACACATTTCTAATGAAGAAAGTACCGATCCAATTATCCAGATCATGCGTCCAGTCATTTGCATGAAGCAGCAGCCTACCCTCTTTAAAAGCATTTCCTTTCACTCCCACTTGCTTCTGGGAAGGACAAGGGCTCTGCTCACCAACTCCCTGAAATGTCACACAATAGTGTGAAACATCATTTCCACATGTCTGAGTGCTTTGGAAAAAAAAAAAAAGGCTTCATGCAAAGCACAAACCCGGAACCACTACATTTAAAGGGAGTCTTCAAAATCATATCTGTATGGTTTTTAGGTGACCATAGGCTCTGCTTGACCATGAGTGGAGCTCCTCCAAACCTTGCCTTGCTATAGAGAAGGCCTTTCCTTCTCAGCACTGTCTGAAACAGTTCAAAGATAGAAGAAACTTTGCTGAGAAATTAAAATCTCTGTTTTGGATCCTCTGTCTCTCTCTCCTCCCTTTGGGGAGGTAACAGAGAGAAGTCTTATTTCAACACTTTCCTGTGGGCAGTATTAGAAAAAGAAACCCACACGAACATCCAGCATGACTCAAACACTGCCACATGTCAAGGGGTGCGAGGCTGTGGGGGAGCAAGCATTGCCAATGACCCCAAAACAGGAATATCATCTGAGCAGTGGGAGTTCTTAGAAAGATCATTGAAAATAGCACTGGGAGAGATCTCAAAGGATCCTCTAATTCTTCTCCCTTGTCCCAAGTAGAATTCAAATATATCCATGTCCTTCCTAGCAGATGTTTGGCCAGAACCATGCAGAAGAGAGATTTTAGCCCTCTGAAAAGGGAGTTTGCTCTCAGGAGAGCTTGGATAGATCTAGCTTTGGTTTTGAATTGCCATCTCAATCCCAGTTTTATCCATAAACTCTTGATGCAGGAGCAGTCTCTGCACTTCACAGGGGACTGACTCTTTCAGGGCTTTGACTGAGGCAGCTCTAGTACAGATAAAGAGCTGGAAAGGAGAAGAAAAAAAATAAATAAATTCATGCCTGCCCCTCCTCAGCGGTCTCAGTCATTGGGCAGACCTGCAAGGCAATAGGTATAAGTAAACTTGAGCTTTGTCCTTGCTGCACCGGATTTCCTTGCCGCTTTCAGTGACTTAACATCTAAGGGATACTCACACTGTCTAAATATTGGCATTCAACCTAGGTCCCTAAAATAGAAGTCCAGCTTCTCTATAGTTAATAGCGAGCAGCAGTTTCCTCCCAAGAGTGATTCAAAACACACAAATTGGGAGGCTACGTTTCTCTGTTCGACTCTGGGTGAATGGGGCAAACATTTCATGGGCTTCTTTCTTCCCTCTGCCCAGGAAAAGAAAGTAGTAAATGCCCTCTTCTGTACAGAGCATCTACCCAGAGGTTTTGGTTTATTTAATTGCACTCTCGTTGCGACATGCTGTGAGTGCAGAACTGGTGCAGAGTCCTGTGCGCAAGCTCTCGGGGCGAGACACGTGAAGAAGCGGAAGCAGCATCAGAAAGATAAACCACAAGATTAGGCCTAGAGGATATGAGAGCACCCAAAAGAAGAAACTTGCATGCAAAAGGCAGTTTTCAAAAAATAGATACTGCAGGTCAACATCGCACTGCAAAAAACTACCTAACATCATGTCCTGCAGAAGGTTCAGCTTGCTAATAAGGCACATGGAGGGTTCATTTAAAGAGAATCTATTAGAAAACAAATTAAGAACCAGATAGTATTCTAAAGCAGTTAATCAAAACAGTGAATTTGCATTCTATCAAAAATGCTTGTAAAACTTAAGAACATGAAAGAAGCGTTTTTTCATGAAACAGCTCTAAATCACACTGCTTTGACGGGATTCCCCGCCTCCGCATGAGTTTGGCTTCTCAGTATTAAGTGCAAGGATTAAGAGAAAGTACAGAATTGAAGGGAGTTCTAGCACTGCAAAAATCTCAAAGGATGATGCTTTCCAGTCTCCATCATTTCCAAGGTGCCATGAGCCTCTAGAGAGGGTTTGTAGCCTGCAGGAGAGCTACAGCCCCATCATTCCCAGCTAAGCAACATCCTTCCTTCTTAGGGGACTGGGAAGCAATAGATCTTGTTGAAAACTCTTTTCATTTCATTGAAACCAGTTGCCTTTAATTCCTGCACACTCCTCAGTATAGCATCTGCTCTTTGGAAATGGATGTTTGCCTGGTCCATTTTATCTATTTTTCTACCATTTGAAATTAGAGAAAAAAAAAAAAAACGCTAAAGTTGAAATTCACTAAAGGAAAAGAGTAAAAGAAAGAAAACTTGGAGCCAAATAATTTTTATGACATGAAAACTTGAGATCTTAGATTTTACTGGCCTTCACAAGTTTCAGATGTCATAAACACACAGGTGCAACTATCTCACTGCATTATACCCATGTGAACCTTGTTATGTTACAGGGAACGCAAATCCAATGAATACTTCCATGTTTATTATAAAACTCCATAAAGAAACTGTTCATATTTTCCCCATATGCAGGCCCAGCTGTGCAGAAGCACATCTGCTTGGGAGTCTTTAACGTGGATCTTTGAATTTACAGTTCAGTGTCTGCAAATTATGATAAAACTAGGAATAAAAGTTCCTGTCTCCAACTGAAAATATAAATCCCTCTCTGATTGATATTGGTTACAGGAAGGAAATAAAGCACTTTTATTTGCCCATGTCACAAGAAACTCCTTCACTGCAATAAACATCCTGTTGATAGGAATATCCTGGGGAGGTAAATGCTACAAGTTTGTAAGCACACCAAGAAACCAGTAAGTACAGGCTAACCACGTAGCTCATGCATCCACGTGGCTGCAACACACCACAGTGGGTTACTTGTTTGTCAGATTCATAAAGAGCGCATGCATTATATAGCAAATATGACATATGCTATATAGCAAATGTGATCACTATTGATTATTATCTTGCGCTCTTTACTCAAATACCCAGTCTGTACATACATGTCCAGCCCTGCCAAAGTAAACAAACTCATTGATTTAGCTATTTATGGCTTGATTTTAAAAGGGGCAGAGCATGCAGGGGAACATTTAACATATGTTTGACATTAAGCACCGGTCAGCTAGTGAAATTAGTGGTATTGATCACATGCTTAAAATTAAGCATGGGCTGAAATGTTTTTGTGGCTCAGCCTTGCCATAGCAAGTCATGATTTTGACAGCAGCACATGCAGGATGTGCCCTAATTTCACTTAATAAAAGGGAATTTAGCGAACCAAAGCTGCGGTGGATGCGGACAGTCGCTGTAGTTCATTACGAGCAATATCACAATAGCACCTCGCAACCCTGGCCAGAAGTGTGGCTTTACTTCCTGAACGGTGCTAGCTGAAAACAGGAGGAAATGAGTGAAAAGAGTGGTGCGGCCCCGAATGAACACAGTTTAGCTAGGTAATCATTATTTGACATAAAACTTGCCACGGTGAAGGTGGCCAAATTTGGTTAGTTCCATTGCTGCCAGCCTGCAGCCTCTTCACGCCTTGCAGTTGTTTCTGTAGTGGCCTCAACCCCGTTCATGAGTTACCTCCCTCCAGAACTCGCTCATCCTTTCTCCCTAGGGTTACAGGGCCAGCAAACACATTCCTCTCTGCATTTACAGTGTTAAAGAGGCCACCAAAATGTTCTTTGAAATCCTCCCCACCGCTGCATCATTAAGTTGCCCTTCTCTGTCCTTACCACAACTACCGCTTTTGCAGAGATTTCCCATTGGCATCATATACCCAGACATCAGAGGAAGGGGAGAAGGCCGCGTTGCCACACAAGACAAGCAGAACCACACGTGAGGGAGGACCTGCTATCAGCCGGTTACGTGCCAGCCAGGAGGAATGTGCTGAGTACTGAATTCTACACAGGTGAAACGCTCCGACCTAAACTTAAACAGGCTTAAAAACAGCAGTTCTGCTACTATCCACGACAGAAACCTCTAACACAACCTGCTCTTTATTTTAAATCTCGGCTTGGACAGGACGCTGTGCAAGAGCCGGGCTGGACTGCAGGGCTTGACGCTCACACGTTCAGAACCTCCCGAAAACCCCTACGTGACAGGGAGGGGGTTTCCAGGACAAAAGGGATGCAGCTGGAGCTCGGCACAGCTGGACAGCTTATGACAGGAGTCGCTCACAGGGTTTAACACATAGCACAGAAAAGATGGCAAATATTTTGGCTGCGTTTCTGAACTCTCACAAGCTCCTCCAAACCAAACTTCCAGAAATTCACCACCGTTCAGCTAGAGATATTTAGGCCCGTTGACAAGCACACTCAAGTGCTCACGTTCCCCCACCTCAGGGCCCTCCCGATTTGCACAAACCAAACCCGTCCCCAACTTGGCGGCATTCCGCAGTGCCTTACCTGGACGACGGGGTGGCCTCCGGTGGGCGCCTTGACCGCGCCGCGGCTGCCCTCGGTCTCGTAGTGCGCGCGGTGATGGGGCTTGGGCTGCACCTCGAGGCGCAGCTCGTAGGAGCCCGACGGGCTGGAGAGCGGCCACTCGAGCGGCGGCAGCGACTGCACGGGCAAGCTGGCAGGGCGAGAGCACGGAGCGATGAGCGGGGCTCGCAGCGACGAGCGGGGCTCGGGGCCCTGCTCTGCCCTTCCTCCAAACACCCCCTGCAGCTGCGCTCACCCAAACGGAGCTCCCTATCAACCTCAACAAGAACATGTTGTCCCAATCACCTTTGATTGCAAGCTCTGCTGAAAGTCAGCACGGATAGGATGCTTTCTGTGGGCCCCTCTCCTCACAGAAGTTAGGGAACTCCCTGATCTCCAACAGATGTGTCTGTAGGTTATTTCAAGGTTATTTCAGAGGGTCCTCTCTCTTTTATTTAACTTCTGCTGTGCATCTTAAACTTTGCTCATAGCTAACTTATATTGCAAAATAATATCTCCAATCACCATTACTTACCAATTGCATAAACTAATTCTTTCTTTAAAAAGTTTTGTTTTGAAAACAAAATTTATAATTTCTATAAATAACAAGATGAACAAGAATAAAATGCTGTATATTCTTACCTTAGTCTTCCTGTTATCAAAATGCACAAGAGTTTATCGCATCAAATGAATACATTAGAAAGTGCAAGCAGACTCTGCACTGGATTTTAACCAGCCATAACCTGATTAGCATAAACTGTGGCCAAGGCTGCCCTGACAAACCCTGGAAAGTCATGGCCCCTGTCCTTTGCTTGCCATTTGTGTTAACTAGGTCTGGAGCAGCGTGCCATAACCTCAGCGTGGGGAAAACCTTGCCGAGGAGAGGGCTGACAGGATTCCAGTTGCAACTGGAAGTGGAGCCACAAGCCTGGAAACCACCGTCCTGGCAGATGGGAGCCGAGCGGGTCCAGCCCTGCAGCTGCGCCCCGGGCGCCGCCGGCGTCGCACAATGCAGGGAGCAGGGGAGGGCAGCGCAAGCCACGGAGATTTCGGTTCAATGACAATTAACAAATTAACAACCAACAGTAAATCACTAGGGGTTGAGTGAATATTCAGTTTGACTTGGAGCAGCGTGCTCTCTTTTGAATCGGGAAATATTTACAGCATTTCCATGCTGGAAGGAAGTTTCTCAGAAATATATTCAGTGAAGTTAGAATAGCAATCAAACCACTTTGAAAGTACTGGGGCAGAGTGCGAGTGCCTGACCCTTGCCAAAGGCTGCCTGGGATTTGCTTTTGAGACAAATAGTTTGGCAAACTGAGGTGAAATTGTTATATATTGTGGTATCAATGAACAACTTCCATGATGTTTCTTCCAACACCAAATTTATTTCAGAATCATCATGTATTGGGTTCACAGTGCACCGTGGCACAACCACTGCCATCCCTGAACGCTTAGCTCTGTTCTGCAGGAAGATCTCCCCAGGGCAACCCTTCCTAGGAGTCACCACAGCTGACAGAGGGTCTCAGGAGCTAACGAAATACAAGTACAAGAAGTGCTACGTACCTGCAGAGAGGTATTGCAGGCATCAGTTGCTTTGTCCAGGATGGAGGTACCAACAAAATCGATTCCGGGGCTGAGTTTCTCCTATCCTCCTGCTCACAAGGCCCATGGAAGTCAACAGTCTGAAAGACGTGACACGGAATGCTGTTTTTGTGGGAAGGCATCGAGGAAGGATCAGGGCTGGTTTTCCAAATTTTTGTGGGAACACCGCAAGAAGGATCCGTAGGAAGGCTGTTCATAGCATCCATGGAAATAGGAGCGCTGGGCAACTGCGTGTAAGTAACCGAAGAGCTGTCTTCTCTCAAAGGGATGCGAGGAGAGGATTGGGGAGAGGGGGTCCTTGACTGTCGTGGAGAAGTGGAAGGCAGCTGAGTATTGTAGAGCTCAGTGCAAGAGTACCTCCGTTTTGCACCTGGTGATGAAGACCTTGAGTTGGGACGGGGTGATGGTGAATGATGTCCCAAGCAGGTTTCCTCCGTGATGCTTGTTCGTGGTGACATTATTGGAGAGGTTCTAGGAGAATAATGAGTATGGATGTTTTGAAACTGTGGACAAAGGTCATCACTAGGACCATTATTTGGTGAAACACATGGTGATGTGTAAGGAGAGAAATTTGTCTCTGAAATGAAACTTGCAGATGAGCCGCTACTAGCTGGGCTCAGACACAGTGGTTCTCTGTAGCCCTCAAAGCCAGGGACAGGCAAGGTAACCCTGGGGCTAGTGGTAGCTGAGTTTGACTGATGTTCTACCAAGAGATCTGTGTCTCTGCCGCGGAAGGGACCCCCTGAATGAATCAGTTCATGATATGGAGTAATTTCAATCCTAGGGCTCGGAGCAGAGGCCCCTGCAGCGTTTGCAGGGTGCGTAGGTGTTGTCCCTATGCTATCTGGCTGTCCATATCTGCCCATGGGATCTGCAGAAAGGCTAGAAAAAGCCAGGGGGCATGGCTTGAGGCCACAGTCCAAGACATCATGAGCGTATGTAACTCCAGAGGGTGGGCTGTTGGTTTTATGTGGAGTCGGTTCTTCTGGAAAAAGAAGGGTCTCTTTAAGACTATATATATTACTGCAGAAGCTGAGCAATCATGGATTAAAAAAATGCATATTTATAAACTAGATGTGATCTGCCAAGAGGTAAATATTCAATTCGCTTAATTATTTGTAACTGCAATTAATGCTCATGAAAAGTTTGGGTTAACAGCCAGGGAAGCTCAAGTGCTCGGAGCGGATGCGCGCGGACCACAGCAGTGCGAACTCCTCCACACCGCCCCGTCCGCCTCCTGCTACCCGAGCCCTGACCTAGAGGGGTCCCCTGCAAGCGTGACAAGACACTTGGGCTTCTCTGCCCGTTGAACTGCCGCCCTCTCTGCAATTCTGCCAAAGATGCTGTTAGCACCCACGGGGTGCTGTGATTTTGGTCAGCTTTGGCCAACAGGGAGCTGGGCTGAGACCGTCCCAGCACTAAACCGGTTCCCAACCAGATGACATAAAACTGCAAGGTTGGGAGGCAGGTTTTGGTGAAGGGAAACCAAACGAAACCAAAAGAAAACAAAAACAAACAAACAAAAAATCCTCACTTATACAGCAAACTCTAGCAAAAAAAAAAAAAAAAAAAGGTGCATTCTGGGTGACAGTTTGTTGTTTGGCTCCATATCATGTCAACAAGTTCCGGTAACAAAATTCACATAAGGAAGCAGCAAATCATCAGCAAATACAATTGCAAATATTGGTTAGAAAAGGAGGAGATAGAAAGGATCGGCCCTAAGCTCACAGGCAGCCACTTTCCAATTCCAGCTCAAGCAACACCGAAGAGGGATTATAACATTCAGAATAACTCATCAGCACTCAGTCCACCACTCTCTCCTGGTGCACAAAGAAACTCCTATTTCCAGCGATTCCTGAGCCCAGTCCTCATCCCGTCCCACCACCCGGGAGGTCCCTAACGCCGGCGGTGGCAGGGCTGGGGTCACCCCAAACACGTGGGACATCGGCTGCCACGGGCTCCCCACTGCGGGGCTGAACAGCACTTGTCGTAATGCAAAAATACACAAAATACCGTCAGGATTTTATGTTTCAAAGATTTCAATGCTTTTGGCGGAAAATGTTTGAAAGAGCTCCACGGTCTGAGGTTAATTTGCACTATCTGTTCACTCTCGGGCAAAGATCAGTATGTGTCAGAGGCAAAGAGTGTTTCTTTTAAATATTCAAATAACTTTTCCAGCATTTTCTCCAACTCCTACACTACATGAGATAGCATTTCTCATGAACAAATAACATTACGCATAAAGCCTGGTAGGAGCTGACTGTACTTTTGGCAAAAGTAACGAGAGGTTGTAGCGAAACTTTTACGCATAGAAAGATAGTGATTTCGTTCAGGGGTTTTCTGTTAGTTTTCAGGTTTAAATTCCTCTTCATGTGAAAGCAAAATCTTCCACTGATGGCTTTGCTGTGAGAACATGAAAAAGTTCAAAGCCATCTCTGCTCACTGATGTCTCCCCCCTCAAAAATGGTGACCTTTCCCAGGTGAAGACCTCCTGAGCTACAGAAGGGATTTACTAACTCACCATCAAGATTGGGAAAAAAAAATAAAAAAAGAATAAGCCAGAGTTTGGACAAGTCCTACTTTTTGCTCCAAATATTTTGCACAACCTGGAGAAACCTCCACTTCAGTGTGGCAGGAATTGCCGGCCGTTGGACCAGTGGCCAGCCGAACAACGCAGAAGGCTCCAGGATGGGCGGCAGGAAGACTCCTGAATTCCCTCTGGCTTTTCATCCCAGCACAGATGCTGCTTTAGGGACAGGGGGAACAGCAACGAGAGTAACCGAGTGCGAGGACAGTGTTTTTTTAGTATCGCTGATATAGCGATGGCATTCGTGGAAGCAACTGCCGCTCGCGTCCCTCACCCTTGGAGCCACCAAGAGCAGATGCTGATGCTGTGATTCACTTTGTCCCTCCCGGGGCCGTGCAGAGCTGCCCGCCCGTGTCCCACAGCATTGGTGACTCAAGGTTGGAGCGGCGCAGGGGAGCCGAGCGCGCCCCAGTAATCGCGGAACAGCCCTCCACGCTGGGCGGCTTCACCTCAAGGAACGGGCAACCGTTTCGGTTCCCCATTCGCCCACCTCCGGCAGGAACTGCACGTGGCCGCCCGCGCGTCGATGCCATCGGCGGCGGACAGAGACACAAGACACATCGGAGGGACGAGGGCAGCTCCGCAGGCCCTGCAGATACACCCTGCTTTTTGCTGCGGTTAAACAGTTTAACTTTTCCTTGCTTTGCACTGAAACACCTTGTGTTTAAACCAGCCCTTTCCCCTCGCTCTGTACCTCGCTCAAGCAGGACTCACGTCCCAGATATTCGGAGCAAGGCCGAGCTGCAGCACGAGCTCCCCTTCCTGCAGCTTCATGGGCCGTGTGTCGGCATCGCTCACCCACCGCTAACGCAGAAGGGACGAGCGGGACAGCAGACAGCACCCGCAGCCCTTCGTGGAGCAGAACTGCTTGGTGAGCTCCCAAAGCAGCAAGCAGGAGCAGGGGAACATGCAGGAGAAACCTCTGCTTGTTCCCAGAGCGTGCGGGGAAGTGCGACGAGCAGAGGCGACCGAGGCCTCTCCTCATTTGCGCCTCTTCCCGACACCCTTAGGATTCCTCTCTGCCTCCACACTGCATCCCTGAGCCCGGCCTGAGAGCTGTCCCACAAAGGACCATCCCGGAGAGCCATCCGGGTTTCCGTGTCTGCTACTGGAGCAGCCTCTGGAGCACCTGGCACAGGCAACCCCTCCATCCAGCCCCTCGTTCGGATGGCGCATCGCGGCTGCCCCGGCCTCCACAGCCCGGGCGTTTCCAGCCTCGGCGCTTCATCGTGCTCCGAATCAGCACCCCCGGGCTCTTAAACAGAAGAGATGCACATCCCGCCAGCACGGGAAAGCCCATGGGGGAGAAAAAAACAACAAAAATTGGAAAGCCTTTAAAAAAATTGATTAAAAAAAAAGCACACACACGCACAAACCCTCTTCCTTCCCACACACCTCCGAAAGGCCACGAGAGGAAAACCCACCGCAGCCCCTGGCCTTGAGAGACTTCCCCGCACGCAGGAGCCCACAGGGACCCTCCCCTCTTCTTTAAACAAGGCCCTAACTTCAAAGCTGCTCAGTCAGCCAAATGCGACCTTGCCAATTAGCTCAAAATTAGGGCATAATAGATCACCAGAGCAACGGCGCGTTTATATAAACTAGCATCTAAGAGAAGCTAAAGATAGATCCTGGAGGCCAGCGGAGCCAAGAAGCGCAGGGGACAAGTTCGGTTTCGACTTCACATCCACTTGCAGCACAACTCCTGTAACTTCACTGGAGCTACCGGTTTGCATAAGGACAAGAGCCCAAAATGCTAAAATTAAGCAGCTTCTCGCAATTTCAAGAGGCCAGTCTGGATTTTTTTTTTTTTTGCATTTTTCAAAAGCTCTGTATTCTCTTATTTACACTAGCTGCTTGGAAGCTTAAAGTGAAAGTCGGTTTCCTGAGTGAAATCTGGTATTCTCTATTACATGTGCATATTAGCTTCTTTACTGCAGGGATGAACACTGTGTCCTGTGTTACTGAGCCAATTGCCAGGACTGAGCTGCTAGTATCTTTTTTTTTCTTCCTTTTAATAGCTTTTTATTAGGAAAAAAAAAAAAGGAAGAAGACAAAAAAATAAAAAAATAAATCTACACATATAGGGTTTGAAACCAGAAAAGTTGTAACCTGACTGGGAAGTTCATCACCTGTAACTATTTTATGCCATCTTTGAGGAAAAAAAAAAAAAAGATATTCAATACCTTTCAAGTTTGAAATGGGTCAAAATTTGGGATACCACTGGCAATATCTCCCCATTTGTCTTTCCAGGGATTAATCTATTTTTTTTTTTAAAGCACAGAAAATGTCTTCTTGGACTAAGTGCAATCCCAAACTCAGTCTAACAGATACCTGTCCTGCAAAGCTGCTGACCACTGTTCACCTGGACACGTCTCCAAGTTCAGCCTGCTAAAAGCAGATGTTTCTAGTTTGAAAATGCCGAGAGGAAGATAACTAATAAAAGTCTGGCAAGCAAAGTTAAAAAGCACATGGAAAATGGCACTTTGTATAACGCTCTGGCTTATGGAAATAGCTGGCTTAAAGATGAATATCTAATATTAATAATATTGACTGTAGGGTTTTTATTTACCCTTTTTCCCCTGTTGCTTTTATAGCAGTCCCTGTTCCTGTTGTCTCAGGCACACATAAGCACAGCGAGTGCCAACTGCTTTCAGTAAGGATATTTCTGGCATTTCCATGGCAACAAGTTGTGATATAGACCCTACTTTTAAAACACAAGCTGAAATGCATACTCTCAAATGAGAACCTTTTAAAAAAACCATTGTTATCAAAGATCAGCTTGCCTCCTCATTCACCCGTAGAGACTGAAATGTGGGGGTTTATTTTCCTTAGAAAAAACATGAGAATCGCTCTTAGCGTGTTTGCGGAGATTTGTTATTATAGGACTGCTGCTGAATGGCGGGTGGAGCGGCCCAGACTGAGGAAACCGGAGCCTTTTCCAGGTCTTTGAGGGGAGGGACCGCGCGGAGTTCTGGGCGGCCCAGAGTCCCCCGTGGTTTCGGTTCCGCGCTGAATCCCCCTCGGAAAAGGCCCCGTTTTCCCCGGGGTTCAGACGGGACAAGAGCTCAGCCTGTGCATAAAGCGCCCTCGCCAAACCCGCCCGTTTCTGTGCTCGTGTAAACACGCTTTAATCCTCTGTACGTTAAAGGTCACGGATGCACGCTGGATCGCTTACAGGCTCGAGCTGGTGTCTCTTCAAAGCGGGTGAGAATGCTCTCCAGATTACAACGCTAGTATGGAGGGTTGGGATCTTTTTGTATGCTAATGATTTCCATCTTTGGAACAAAATTACTGCTAATTACGGTTCCCAGTCATTCGAATGGGGAGAAAGCAAGCTTAAGAAGGAAGTTACTTCTGCTGGGAGCACACACTGCTCTGCACTTGTGCGGTTGAGAAGA